TTTTGACTATTATGGAACTTAATTTATTTTAAAACAAAATTCAAACATGAAAATTAATAAAATAAAAATACAATTTTAAATAAGTTTAAATTAAAATAAAGTTTATATATATATATATATATATATATATATATAATCCTCCAGCCCTTAAATGTACCTTGTAACCTCCATTAAACCTGCATGTAATTATTACATTTATTAAAGAACAAAGGTAAAAAATATTATTGTCTACAAACTGCATTCCAGGTGAAGCGCTCTGCTCGTATGTGTGGTGAATGTGAACCCTGCACTAGGACGGAGGACTGTGGTCAATGCGACTTCTGTAAAGACATGAAGAAATTTGGCGGCCCAAACAAGATTCGTCAGAAATGTCGTCTAAGGCAGTGTGTTGTCCGTGCACGGGTGAGTTTCTTTATATTTAGGTGGTTTGTTTTGTTTTTGTTTTGTAGTTAATTTTCTCTCTCTATGTTTTTGCAGAAAATGCTGCGTGTTCGAGACGAGGAGTTTTCTCTGTGTGAAAGGAAGGACAATATAATGCACAGGGATAGACGATACTTAGATGATTATGATGAGAACGATATGGAGCCATATGAGCATTACAAGGGCAGAAATGCGGTAACCACTAATTGCTGTAGCTCAGCCACAGCCACTTAGTATATACATTTCTTTGAACTTGTCAGGTTAGAATATATATTTTAACCTGAGTATTTTTGTGAGATATGCTTGATGAGGATGATGCTTTAGGTCTAGCACTCGTAGACGAACCTCACCCTTCTTTTTTTTTTTTTTAAGTCATGGGGCAGTGATGAGGAAGACGGCCCATTTTACAGCCCTGTCCAACGGAAGAAAGCTATAAAAGTCAAGCACGTCAAGAGGAGAGACAAAAAATTTGACAAAAAGGTACAATGAGAAACACAGTTCCTTAACCCTTGTGCTGTGCTGACAATCCTTTACCAAATTAATTAAAAAAAAAATTGTAATTCATTAATTAATTGTAAAAAAATAAATAAATAAATCTGTCAATATGCTATATCATCACCAAATCTTAGATTCAATTTTTTTGTCAGTTTTTCTTTCAGTGTGTACAGGTTTTGTATTTCTTTTTGGACCTGATTGATTGTTGGTCTCCTTGATCTGATCTTACACACCTCAATTTTGATTGAGAAAAGTATTCATTGTGGATAACTACAGCAATGTTCACTCAGAAACTGAGGTGTAAAAGATTAATGTTCAGAGAGGCCTACAATCAATCAGTTCCAAAAAGAAATATAAAACCTGTGCTAATTAAATTAAAACTAATATTATAGCTTAAAGAGAAATTTATGAGCAATCTTTTGTAGGCTGGTCATTTTTAACTGGGAACATCACAAATGTAATCCCCCCCCCCCCCAAAACACAAACATTATTTAATATTTTTTGGTAGAAGCTGTTATACCCTAAGAAAATGTTAGTCCATTGGAGTAATATTAACTAGCATTTTCAGGAAGTCAAAATGACCAGAGCATAACATGTGGGTTGAAGGGATGGTTCACCTAGTAATGAAAATTTTCATTTATTCACCCTCAAGTTATTCCTAACCTGTATGAGTTTATTTCTTCTGTTTAACGTATGAGAAAATAGTTTGAAGAATGTTGTTAACCAAACAGTTTTTGGTCCCCACTGAGTTCTATAGTATGCAACAAAATACTATGGCAGTCAGTGAGGACTAGAAACTGTTTGGTTACCAACATTCTTCAGAATTGTTTGCTCATCTCATAACTGTGCTCGTCTTTCACAGAAAGAGTCCCGTCGCCACAAGCAGAAACAGAAGCACCGTGATCGTTTGAGACACAGCGAGAGGGGAGATGGCAGACATGGAGGAGACTTGCAACAGTGTCTGGGGCCAAACTGTATCGAGTCAACACGTCCAAACTCAAAATACTGCTCTGAGGACTGTGGCATGAAGCTGGCCACCAAGTAGGTTATTTCATTAAGTGCAGCCAAGCAGCATGGAACAGTCACGCAATGTTATACCAATACCAGTTTTATGTGTTTTGTACGTAAGATTGTGTTGATTTATTGATCTGCTGATTTGTGCAGCCGCATCTACGAGATCCTCCCACAGCGCATCCAGCAGTGGCAGCAGAGCCCCTGCATCGCTGAGGAACAGGGCAAAAAACAACTGGAGCGCATCCGCAGGGAGCAGCAGGCTGCTCGGATGCGCCTCGCCGAGATGGAGCGCCGTTTCCACGAGCTCGAGGGTATCATTGCCAAAGCCAAGCAGCAGGTGGTCCAACAGGATGAGGATGTGAGTTCCCAGCAATACTTTCTTATGCTAATATCATTGAATTTTGTCGAGTAATTAGTATAAGATAGAATTTATGTGTTTCAGGGATCTTGTCATATTTATTGGTGTAAGCTAGCTAATGTCCTGTCTTGCAGGTGAATGAAACGGACAGTGAAGACACAGACCTTCAGATCTTCTGTGTGTCCTGTAGTCACCCTATTAACCCCAAGGTGGCGCTGAGGCATATGGAAAGATGTTATGCCAAGGTGAATATATTTAGTTTTCTGAGCTGATTTATTGAATAGTGAATTTTGGTCTGATGTGGCATTCCTTAAAACAAAATTGGTTTGTATTACACTAACACTTGATTTATTATTTTAACAGTATGAAAGCCAGACCTCTTTCGGTTCCATTTTCCCAACCAGAATAGAAGGGTAAGAGGGCTATATTTCAATTATTATTATATAGTACAGCAGTTTTGATTGAATGTGTCTGTATATCCTTCATTCACTTAGTTTTCTTGTTATACTTCCTCTACTTGCTTTATTTGTGTGCAGTTTTACCAAAAGTCTGTGGTGTATATAATACACTTGTTATTTTTCTGGAATTTCAAAAATATGTGTATTATTTTCATTATTATTATTTTATAATAACTGTATGATAATGACTATTTTTTTAATATATGCAGGAAATTAAATACTTCACAAATGGTATTTCATCTCAATTGATTCTTTTTTTCTTTTTCTTTGCAATAAAATCAAAGTTTTTTTTAAATGTATAATATATGTGTATATATATATATTTATTTCTTCTATTAGGGCAACAAGACTCTTCTGTGATGTTTATAACCTTCAGAGTAAAACATACTGCAAGAGACTCCAAGTTTTATGTCCAGAACATTCCAGAGATCCAAAGGTGAGAGTTTAGTGATGGTCCCACAGTATTTCTGCTCAAACTAAGGGTACGTTTACACAACAATGATTGTACTTACAATGGAATTTTTTTCTTTGCATTTTGGAAAAGTTTCACGTACACACAACAACATTGTCTAAACAACCCCTGTTCACATGGATCCGCAAAATACTAAAGACGCTGTAGTATTCATGCTAGGCCAGCAGTTGGCGATGCTACTTTTTACACAGAAACTTTGCATTTTTAAGCTCCCAAAACTCCATTGTCATGTAAATGAATGGCCAAAATGCATATAACATTTCCGTTTTTAGTCGAAAACGGTGTTGTGTAAACACCTAAACCGGGCTTTTTCTAACCTGTTTGTCTCCCTCATCTAACACACCTGATTCAACTCATCAGCTCATTAGTGGAAGACTGCAAGACCTGAACTGGGTGTGTCCGATAAGGGGGGCGTACAAAATATACAGTGCTGGGGGTCTCCAAGAAGATGGGCTTGAAAAACCCCTGAACGAAACTAACTGCATCTTCAGACATCTCTTCATAACAGGATTTGTGTTCAGTAAATTACTATTCTGTTTTTCTCTTCTCAGGTCCCAGCAGATGAGGTGTGTGGATGTCCATTAGTGCGTAATGTATTTGAGCCGACTGGAGAGTATTGCAGGGTCTCGAAACGCAAGTGCAACAAGCATTACTGCTGGGAGAAGCTCAGACGGGCGGAGGTGGATCTGGAGCGTGTCAGAGTGGTCAGTCAAGTTCTTCCAAACTTATTTTCATTGTAGTCTTAATTTAGTTTCTTATAACTCATACTTTCCCCTCCAAACAGTGGTACAAGCTGGATGAGTTGTTTGAACAAGAACGCAATGTGAGGACGGCCATGACCAACAGAGCAGGACTATTGGCCCTGATGCTCCACCAGACCATCCAGCATGACCCTCTGACCACTGATCTCCGCAGCAACAAAGACAGATAGCCATGCCAACAATCTGTGCTCAAAAATGATTTCTTTATATTTGTATACTTTTCATATTGTATATTTGTCACTATTTGGATGATGTCATTCATATTAAAACTCTCTTCATGTGTCTCCTTCAGTCTGCATTGATTCATTTGACTTGTGCTCAATTAGTTAATTATGGAATTGTAATTTTTGTTGTGATCCTCAGATTTCTTGCTTTATTTTTTAGTTATTTTATCTATACTATATTGATATGAGCAAGTATGCTTACAAGGAATTTGTCTTGGTAAAACTAGCTTCCAGAACAGAGACGAAATAACAATTAGACATAAAAATAGACAATATAAATGTTTTTTTTTTTTTTTTAAGTTTAATGATAAGTATTTTAGCCTACTCTGTAGTTAAAATAAATTTTTATAAAAGGCCTATTTATTTCCACGTCTAGGGGTTAATAGGAGTTTCTCCGTATATCATATATATGTAGTGTGAAAAATGTAATGATGAATACATTTTATTATTAAATACAATTTATGAAAAGTAACAAAAAACGACGAAATTCAGAGATTCATGTTACTTTTTCAACTTTTGACTCATGTTTACGCTGATAAAGTAATTTGTAATCAGAAAAAAAAATCTATCGTGCTATTTTGTTAAATCTCTTAAGGTCTGTCGTCTAGCAGTACATCAAAGACGTAAATGTTACATCAAGCAGCGCAACATCAGTCTAGCTTTTTGAGACGTGAGCAGGGAACTTTATTTATTCAAAATGCTCGAGTCACGTGTTTCCGGGTTACAACAGCACTTCCGGTCCCTCTCCTGTTTCAGTATTTAAAATATATCAATGTGAGGATTGTTGAAGGGTTTACAGGTAGGTTTTTAGGAATGGCGGGATCGTATTTATGATTTTAGTTTAACATGACCGTTAAAAACAGCAATCAGTCCAGGTAAATCCCAGTAATTTTTTTATTTACTATCATTTCGCGTTTGCTAATATTTTAGCTACCACGCTAAGTATTGGCGCTAATACGTGTAAGGCTGTGTCTCAAAACCTAGTTTGCTGACTACCTAGACAGCATTTTCTGCATCAAAAGTCGTGGTTTAAAAGATAAAGCGTTTGGTATTTACACGAAGAGCAACAATAGGCAGTCAGCTGACTGTTGGATTCAATTGCAGGTGTCTGAGCTGAATGCATAACATATTGCAAAGAGATTATTCAGATAGTTCAACGTTATTAAAATGAAGGAGCTTCTGATGGACAAAAAGTAGATGATTTACAGTGCTGGAAGGTAGAAGAACTGAACAAGTATTGTTTGCTGCTTAAAACACTGTATCTGGGTGTTGCCCCACTAATGTGTATTTCCTTATTGCAGCTGTCATAAGAAGAACAGGGAGGCTATACTAACATGGAAACGGAGGAAGTAGTGGCTGAGGCACCTGCAGAACCAACAACCGAAGTCATAGATGCAAATACAGAGGAAAGCAAAGAGCCCACAGAAAGCACAGACATTCAGAATCATGTCACAGATGAAAACAAAGAGGGAGCTGTAACTGAGAAGGAGGGCGAGTCTTCCAAAGACGTCGACAAACCACCTTGTGACTGGTTGGAGCCACTCGAAGAAGACTGTGACGATGTCGATTCCCCGAGCGTTGATGGAGAAGTAGAGAGCCTTGTGGGGAGCGAATGGAGCGGCAGTGTGGTTAGTGTTAGGAAAAGCACTGGAGAGAGAGGTGGCAGAGGTGTTGGGTATGTACATGACCTGGATTCTAATAATTAAACACCTCACATCAAACTTTAAGTGATGAGTTCTAGAAAATTTATAAGTTTTCTCTTATGCACTTCACTATTTTTTAAACATATTTTTGTATGTTTTGCTTTTTCTTCTAGGAGACCGAGGAGGAGAGCACAATGCGAGGTAGATGAAGAATGGGAAGATTGGCCATCATTAGGGCAAGGATGGAAACGCAAACAGGTTTTTCGTCGGTCAGGCACCAGTGAAGGACGTAGTGATACATACTATATGAGGTATTGTAAAAACGACTCAATTAAAAGAATAGTTAGAAATTAAAAAAAAAATTTGCTAAAAAAAACTCACCCTCATAACATTCAAGATGTAGATGAATTTTTTTTCTTTCATCTGTACAGATTTAGACAAATTTAGCATTACAGTACTTGCTCACTAATAGATCCTCTGCAGTGAATGGGTGCCATCAGAATGAGAGTCCAAACATTCCACAAGTAATCCCCACAATTCCAGTTTATCAATTAATATCTTCTTGTGAAGTTAAAAGCAAATGCATGTTTGTAAGGCATTTTAATGTTAAACCCTTGCTTGTGGCCAAAATGTGAGTTTGTAATAACACTTCCTCCAGTGAAAAAGTCCATCTGCTTTTGTCCTCTCACATCAAAATATTGAAAATATATGTTTAGAGCTGTTTTGGACAGTTTTTGCTTGTAAATGGTGCTTGATCTGTGCATATTTCTTTCCTGATTCTAACGGGATGTGTTTTTCACTGGAAAAAGCAATATTATGGATCGAGGACTCATATTTTAGCCAGAAGCAATGGTTTGAAGTTAAAAACATCTCAATGAATTGATCACAAACATGCAGCTTAAGACAAGACGTTAATTGATATAATCGTGTGGATTATTGTGATGTTTTTATCAGCTGTTTGGACTCTGGCATCCATTCACTGCAGAGCATCCATTGGTGAGTAAATGATGTAATGCTAAAGCATTACTGTGTGGCACGTTCATTTTGCATCACCCATTAATTTTTTTTATTATTTTTTTCCTTTCAGTCCAAGAGGTCATAAAGTAAGAAGTAGGGTTGAGCTTGTGAAATATATAAGTCAATCTGTGGACCTCACAAATTTTGATTTTAAAACGGGCCAGTTTCTTGGTGAAGAGCCTCGAAGAAGAAAGGTGAGATGTTGTTCAGCATGCTCTCTTCATTTTTTTGGCTTAAATTTATTCACATATTTCCCACTAATATCTACATTCTGGTATCCATAGAGAAGGAAACTGGATTCTCCCCAGGCACACTTTTCTGTACCCAGTTTTCCAAATGAATTGGCAGATACAGGTGGTGCAGCTGGCAATCCAGGATCTTCAACTAGTCTCAGCTATGGTACAGCTCCGAAGTTGAGCACATATTCAATCCAAAAGGGTGCCAATACAGTGACCACTCCAAAATGCAATACCTATTCTAGTCCTGAGACAAATACCGCTTTATCAAGTGCCACTGCACAACTTACTATTGATCTAACTGAAGATTCTGCGAATCCAGCTCCTCCTCCTCTGAGCGGTTCAGTGTCTGTGGCCCCAGATAGGCCCATCAATGGTGCCAGTGGAAATCCACAAAAATGTTTTGGGTAGGCAATGCTTCTTTTTCTTACACTATAGCCTAAATGTCAAAAACAGCGGTGTTAATATCTTTCTTCACTCTGTTCTTTTTGTTTGTACTCAGTGTCTGCCTAAGATGTCATAAAACCTATACTTTTGAACAGGGACAAACTATGTGCCAGAATTGCAGGCTAAAGGGTAACACATGTAAGTCAAAATGTATTCATTTATTTTCCAGTTTGTGAGTGCAGGCAAGTAAGCAGCAATAGTGTATTTCAGCTAATGCTATTACTTTTACTTTTAGTCATTTAGCAGACGCTTTTATTCAAAGTGACTTACAAATAAGAAAAAGTAATTAAAACTCTATAAATACTATATATATATATATATATATATATATATATACACACATTTAAGAAAATAAAATAAT